TAATTCTACCTTTAAATGTCACTATTCAGTAAAATGATTACTGTGGCATGGAGTCCATTTCAGAATAATTACACTGGTGTTACTGATAACTGTCAGTATTGCCTACTGAAGAAAAAAGATGTTTAAATATGAAGACTGGTATTAGTTGACTTGGCAGGAAGACAGAGATGGCCAAATTAGTTTGCACAAATGGAAACAAAAATGTGACAGATGGGACGAAACTAATTGTTACAACAGGACACAGACTGTAAAGAAGGAGCGAAAATGGACAGGGGACACTTATGACTTTACAATGAAGGAAGACAGGAGGTGGAGAAAGGAAAGTGGGACACTAAGAAAAGAAGAGGCTGGATGACAATAAGAAATAAGAGATAAAAAGTTAGAAGGGGTGAATCAAAATGAAGAATAAGAGAAGCGGACGGAAAGACTGAAATAGTTGAGTCATTCATCCTCCAGGTCCCTGGTAAAAGGACATTCATCTCCAATCAATAGACTATCAGGGCTTTTTATCCACTTCTGGTGTCAGAGCTATCAGGCCTCGACTGTGATCGGCTACATCAGGTCAAAGTCGGAAGCACAATGTCAGGTCCTCTGTTCTCACTGCAGAATGAAACTGCTGCCGGGTTTTATAAAGTGTCTGTGAAAATAGTTTGCTGCAATGTTAAAAAAAAGTCAGTCATACCAACTTTTATTCAGTCTGTATTAGTATTCAGACACGTTGGTCTATTCTCTTCACGTCCATGGACTCATTACGGATAAAGACAGGTTTCTAATGTCTATCTGCAGCTCGTTCCACCACTTTGGTCCAGACAGAAACATCTCAACTACGCGATGGATTGCCATCAAATTTTGGAGAAACATTCTTGGTTCCCTAAGGGTTTCCTCAATCACCACCATGAGGCCGGCAACTATTGTCATTTTGAGCATGTTAGCATGCTCACATTAGCATTTAGTACAGCCTCACAGAGCCGTTAGCGTGCCTGGAGATTCAATTTGGAATTGTGTATCACTGAAGATCACAATTTTTGGCTAAAAGGCTCAAAACACTCCAGTGGTGAAAACAAGCCAGGCAGTCACCTCACTTCAAGCACAAAAACGGTCAGGCTTTGTGCTTGGTAAAAGTCCCGCCCCGGACACATCTACATGCCAATATTCAGTTATAGTCGTAGTGCCAAGTGCTCTGTAGTGCTATAAAAGGGACACAGGAAGTGACGTATAACATCTTTGTGCAGCGTCCTAAGTGCGTGGCAAATTCACAGCCGCACCAGCAGAGCTCCAGAATCTGCAACGCGGCCGCCTCACACCTCAATGTGCAACACATGCGAGGGCACACACAACGCTGCTTGCAGCTTAAATTTATTTATTGATTTCCTCAACGAGCAGCAGGGATTTCTCTCTGGGATCTTGCACCATGAATGTTGCAGAGGAAGAGCTTTTTTCATCTACCTACTAGTGCTAGAACTACATTAGAAAAATGCATTAATGTTCCCATTGTCCTTAAGCTATTTCTTAAGCCATTTAATTTGTTGTTGAAGCAAAAATCGAGATGATTCATACTGTATATCATCGATCTGTTGTCCATTGCATTCTAGCTGTTCTTTTCAAGGGCCGTAACTTTTCTTTTGTTCAAGTTCAAGTTAAATATTTATATATCTGTAAGCACAACAGACAGTTTGTAGTGGTTACACCGTCAGCCTGATCTATTACATGGCCTATTTAACTATCAGTAAACTAAGGCTGTGTTATGTACGGAAGCCCTAAGTGGCCATCCATTCAAATAGGGGATACTTATCACGAGATAACAAATGTTGTTTTCCGTGATAACAGGATAATTTTCTCATAATCTCGAGATAACAAACAATAGCTCAATACAGGGGTCAGGATGTACGTTTCTTTAGGAAATTTTTGTAAGTATACCCAGTGTCACTGGTTAGCACTGGTTAGATGGTTGAGCACAGGACTTTTAATCGAAGAATTGCGTGTTCAATTCCTGCTTTGGATGTTTTTTTCTGCTTTTGTGTGTTTTTTTATTATCTTCTTCGACAGAGTTGTTATGAAGAGATTCAGGGGAATCCGAAATAGCCGTCAGGAAATGTGTAATGTTAAATGGATTCCCCTGAATGAGAAGTGCAGGAATTTCCTCTACCTGGGAATGATGGGAAAATGAAAAGTCCATAGGTGGATGGATGTGGACCAATCGCCGGGATGCACAAAGTCCAGAACGTGCTTTATTGTGAGCATGTGAAACAGTCTTTTCATAAGAACTTTGTTGAAGGGGATTATAAAAAAGTGAAGTAAAAAATTGGTCTAAAGTGGAACACACAACCCTTTAACTGTGAGTCCTGTACTTTACCCCCTGAGCTAACCAGCAACATTGAAAATCACTTCACTGACCCCTGTGTTAAACAACTGTTATCTCAATATCACGAGAACATTATCCTGTTATCACGGGAAAACAACATTCGTTATCTCCAGATAATTATCCCATTATCACAGGAAAACGGTGTAAGAAAAACATTTGAATGGATGGCCTCTTAGGACTTCTGTAGTTCAGAAACACATACTAACATACTATTTATACTAAGTATGATTTGAAATCGAGTATGAAGTGCGTTCCAACAGCATAGTGTGTGGATTTAGCTTAGGCGAATTTCTGAGTATGTGCCGTGAGCTTCCTGGACATACTCAACTGTCCCAGACCCATTACAAACAGAGATAAGGATGTTTTCCAACTTTGTAAAAAGCAGTTGCTTTACTCTTCAACTAAAACAAATATGAGGACTCACCTGCTAGCTCGCCAGCCAAGAAAGGCAGTGGAAGCAACAGAAACGAGTGGACCAACTTCAACTGTACAAACTTGTCTGACTTCCTTTTAAAGAGTCCATCCATCCATCCATCGTCAACTGTTTATCCTGCGTACAGGGTCGCGGGGGGCTGGAGCCAATCCCAGCTTACATTGGGCAGGGTACACCCTGGACAGGTCGCCAGTCCATCGCAGGGCCACACATACACAAACAACCACTCACACTCACATTCACACCTAAGGACAATTTCGGAGACACGAATTAACCTAGCCTGCATGTCTTTGGATGGTGGGAGGAAGCCGGAACACCCGGAGAGAACCCACGCAGACACGGGGAGAACATGCAAACTCCACACAGGAACCGGGGTTTGAACCCATGACCTTCTTGCTGTGATATATCCACCCCGTAAGAGTGTATTTTACTATTTTATCCACTGTCCTTAATGCTTTAACAACTGCGTATTTTGAAGGTTTCAGCTGTATTACTTGGTGTAAAATTTACCTGTAATCTTTTTTTTTTTACAACAAGGCAGTCAACTGACCTTACAGAACAACAGTGTTAGTGATGGTAGCAGGAAGTGAGAGATACTCAAAATGCAACACTGCATTCTGGTCTATTGGGGTGACTAATGGTGAGCAAATGTGAGTTTCTCCCCCCTTTATGATGGATTTCTATATATTTATATTGTTGCAAAATACTGACTTTGTATGAAAGAACTTGCTCTTTAATTTTTTTTGCACTGAATTACTAGGCTTTCGTTCAAGGTCTGGAAATAAGTAAAACAAAGACCCACCTGTTATTAACAGCCACAGCAGTTCAACACTTACATGTAAGTCACATGACATCTGAGCTATTTCAAGCAGCTTTAAGTAAACTGCTCAGCTCCTGAAATAGCTATTAAGTTGTTCTTAAGTTATTCTTGTTTTGTTTTTGTTCAAAAGGCCCAAGATCTTCAATGTTTTGTGTTTATCGGCCATCATGATGTAAAGAAATTAATATAAAAATAGTCACAGGTCACAGTTTTCATTACAGAATTTTAACTGCAGGCGTTCACCTGTCTCTTGTAACAGTACATCAAAGACCAAGAAACATCAGGATCATTACAGTGGACTGGTTTTGGTCCAGTATGTATCAGCAAAGGTCAATAATGAAAATTAGCTCTTACAGTCTCTACATGACCTAAAGTATCAATGCAACCTCTGCTCCCTTTTTCTTTCTGGCAGCGTGTAATGTTGGCAGTCTTGGAGGTGAGGATCAGACTCTTCAGCTGATCTTTGAAGTAAAAGCTAACCTTTAAATATAATTCAGTGTGATGACACAGATGTGTACTAATACCACAGCAGAGAGCCTTGTTAATCAACTGTTACCAAAAATCAGCAAACACAGGGAGCAGACTGGAAGCATTTTACAACAAAGCCTGTTTGCTTAAAGGCTCGACCATCAAACAAACTGGGGACTGAGCAGTGTTCTGCAGGCTCTGCTTCCTTTAGTTTCCCAGGTGGTGAAAATCATTCAGATCCAGATTAAACTCATCTCACCCTCCCAGCTGATTCTGAGCTTTGATGTCGAGATAAAACAAGGAAGCTTGTTCGCTGCAAAAAGCTCCACAACAAACTGTAAACTTAATTTTGTCAAAGCCTCACATCAGCATCCAGCACAGGGCTCCCTGCTGGGTCAAACAAACACCATTCACAATTATCCTTCAGGCATAAACCTTCGATTCAAACAGCACCCATAGAGAATAAAGATGGGACAACGCTGCCATTCTTTTAGATTGGATTGTCTTGTCCTTCTGATCCTCTGGTCACTGGTGAGTTACCTGTAAGTCTTTGTGAATCCAGTAAAACTTTCCTGTTTGTTATGTTTTGTGTTATGTGCCCTGAGCTTAAGCAAAGTCCCTTCTCTACTGAGCACAACTGCAGCAGAGCAGCTCAGTAACAGGACTGCCGCTTTCTCTCTATTGTCTGTTAGACTCAGATAAACCTCACATTACACTGGACTAAAGGAGAAGCTCACACCCCCGCTTAGAAGAACAACAGTATAAACTTTATTCCATGCTCTAACACACAACTATAACAATAATAATAAGTGAGAGTAAGATACTGCAGGTACTTACTGTATGTATCCAGTGTGGTCAGTTTTGTTACATACCCTGATCAAACTCAACAAGTCTTATTGAGTCAAACTCTTCCTTACCATCTCTCCTGTTGAGTTTGGCGAAGCCCGGAGCGTGACTGCTGGACAGCTGGGAGGAGCTTCTGAAGGACGATGGCGGCAGATTGGACACAAGTGCACTGTCACACACCTCTGTCAACCAATCACAGAAGCAGAAAAAAAGCACACTTAGTTATGTCTTTAAAATAATTTCATATGCTTAAACTAAAACTGTTTGCGATTAAGTTCTGGAAATGATGTGTTTTCTCTGTTTTAGGTACAAATGTACATGCAAGTTCTCCTAAAGCTGACATCCCTCCACCGACCCACAAGCCACCTCGACCACCGACAGTTCTTACTTCTGCTGTGATATGCTACAGTAGTAGTGGCTAATGTACCATTGAGCCGCTAGCCTCAAGCAGAGATGAGGAGCGGCTACTGAGGACTCCACACTACCAGATTTCTTTCATTCATTTTTTCAGCCCCAACTTTCGTCGTCGCTTATTTATCAGATTTCATGCAGCTCCCTCTGGAACCACAAAAGGCTTGCTCCCCAACACCAGTACACAGACTCTGGCGTGTAAAATCTTTCAGTCACATATGGATCAGGGCTTATGGACAGTTTCCTTTTATTGAAATGTCGATCTTGTGATTTTTCATGACATAGTTAACATGTTACATTGTTTCCTGCTAAGTTCTTGATTAAAGGAAACTCCAAATAACAAAATACGTGATACCATGATGAGGAATATTCAGGTTAAATAGCATAATGTAGGTGTTTTGGTCATATAAACACAAACACTGAGTATTTTTCAGTGCAGGTTTTTTAGGTAGCTTTATGAATATTTTTAAATCTCTTGGTTATATATGCAGTATACCGTCTAACTGTGTTGTATTGTAGTTCATGGCTGTCAAATCACATTCATACAATGTAACTCTTTTGTTGACTTCCTAAAAAGTGAATTTATTCTTTGCCCACAGATGAACAAAATATTAGTGTTTTTACATGAAACAAGGATTTACAATTAAAGATTGACCTTCAAACAAGCTACCTTTAGCTACAGTACTTCTACGCTTGCACAAATGTCACAGGCAGAACAACAAACATCTCTTTTGTGCAAATCTTGCCGAAGTAGCGCATTCTGTAACCAGAGAAAATTTCACGCTTCAGCAGCATCCATTCATCTGTCTAGAGTAGGTTGAGATGGTTGGACACAGGTACCTCAAAACTTACCCTGAATGATGCAGCACTTAAAGGTTCAGAAAGGCAGACTATCGGAATTAACAGGGCAGGAGCATCACATTTCTTGGCCTCACTAGACACCCTTGCACAGCTGAAGTGAAGTGGAGTTTTGTCATTGAACTGCAGGTTTAATGTCCGCTAAGTAGCCTTTGACATTGCTCTGTAGTCTCTCAGTGAACAGCAGTAGTTCACAACAGCAGGTTGATGCAGGAACCTCTCTTCTCTTTACTTTAGTATAAACATTTCTGTGGTCCAAACTCTTCTCCATAGTGGAAAAACACAGCTAAGTGGTTCAGGATATCACATACTGAGGATATCACAATATCAGACACAGCTGGAGATAGATTATTATCTTTTAGCCTGAGTGAAAAACAGCAGGACGGCAGCTCACTGATGCTGAGAGGTGACAGCCAGGTATCTCAGAATTATCAGCTTTTCAGAACCAAAGGAGCTTTTTTAGTTTGTGAATATTAACACACAAGTGGCAGAGTGGAGTCTAATCATTGAGAAGCAGGTGGGAGCAGGTCTTTCAGCTGTTAGGGGATCATACTAGATGAATGAACAGTGTAATAATGTCCAGTTGGATGGATTATTGGTGTACTTCTGTGGCGATGGATAAATGAGCGTTGTAATCATGTCGCGTTGTGGAGATGAATGGCTCATTACAGGGTGGATACTGATGGAGACAAATCAGCGTTGTCAGAAGAAACCTTTACGTGTCTCACACTTTAATGGTTTCTGGATGATTGACTACAATAAAAACTTCATATATTATATGTAATGCAACAATTAATGTTAATTAATTAAGGTTTAAATTAATTGGCATCGCTCCCAAGCTCACACAGGAACCTTTAAACATACAGTGGGGATGTGTTGCTGAAGGTTTTTCTTTGATTTATTAAAACAAGTGCAGTGCCTGTTCACAGGGGCCGATGTGACGCCTCCCTGTGCTTTTTGTTCAAAATAAATAAAGACATTAATAAATATTTTGATATAGATCTCAGTCATGACAGCACCAGTTACTCATATAATCAATTTCTTTTAAGTGATTGTGCCTACAAAATAAAAGCACAAGAAAGTTTTTTGCAGGTCTGCTTTGTTTCGAGTTGAATTGAGAGCTTTTACTTTGAGCTAAGTTCTGAAAGACATTCAAAAGAGTCTTAACACTCCTTTTAAAAAAAGCCTCAGGAAATGTGAATCCGGGGCGGCGTGGCGGCACTGTTAGCACTGTTGCCTCACAGCAAGAAGCCCCCCGCGACCCTGTAAGCAGGATGGTTGATGATGGATGGATGGATGGATGGATGGAAATGTGAATCCCCTGAATGAGAAGCGCAGGGATTTCCTCTGCCTGGAGATGCTGGGGAAATGAAAATAATAGTCCGTAGGATGATGGAAGTTCGCTGGGACGCACACAGGGTTGGGAAGGTTACTTTAAAAAAGTAATCCGGTACAATTACTAGTTAAAAATTTTTATCAGTAACGTAATCCAAGTACCACAAAATAAAAGTAATGTAACATGATTACTCACTTTTGGATTATTTCAATGCCAAATAGGCAAATAAAGCTGTTACAATGATGCTCAGTGTATTTTTAGAGAAACACAGAATATCAAAATCTCCCATTCACAAAATCCATGTTTAAATGTTTTTATATGATATGCTTTGCACTATGTCACCACTACGGCACTATCTGGCCCATCAATGACAAAGAACGTTGTTCTTCTTCTTGATTCATTTTAAAATGTAGATGACTCACTTGACAACACTTGTATTAATTTAGCGTCCAATGAAAAGATTCTCAATATGACTGGGGCTGGGCCCCACTGATTACTGTACAAAAACAACTTTTTTTCACTGATTTTGGTGAAACTGGATCATATGTGATGAGAAATATTAGAAATTTGGAGAAAATATATTCTAGTATTCTCTCGATGTTCAAATAGCTTTACTTGTTGTTGACGTTACTTAACAAGTTAACTAGCTACTGTGACTGTAGGCCGGCTGTGGCTGCGGCTCAAGAGGTAGAGCAGGTTGGCCGTTAATCAGGCCGGGTCCACTCACTGAAAGCTGGAACCGCACAGTCTGCATGACAGAGTGGGAGAGCATAATGTTAATACACATTCAGCACTACTGGCGACTGTAAACGCCAATCAACGTCCCTCCCTTGCTTTGTCTTTTTACAGAAACACATACATGTACCTGTACCTGTAATCTGATTACATCTTTATTGTCTGTACTATAACGGAATACAGTTACAGTTTTTGGTATCCTGATTACGTAACGCTGTTACATGTAATCCATTACTCCCCAACCCTGGACGCAAACACTCCAGCACATGCTTTATTGTGAGCATGTAAAACAGTCTCTTCATAGTTAATTTGTTGAAGAGGGAAAAAAATATGTTCGCATTAGGGGGAATTGGGGAAAACACAAAACCCCCGATTGTACTGACTGAGCTAACCAGGAACCCAACATAAATTTTAAAATGATCAAACTAACGTGCCAAGCCCTGACATCCAGCATTAATAGCACTGAAACAACACAACAATGGTGGAGGTACTGCTAGATATTCAGCACTTCCTTAGAAGTTAACATAAAATATAAAACTGTATAAATCTGTCACATTCATTTCTAACATATATTAAAACTGTGTGATGACAATAACTCCATTTATCGGAGCATATAAGCCCCGTCCCCACGAGCGCTCCTCGCTGTCACATGTTTAAATTACATCAGACACGGCACAGCGCTCTCATGGGTCCGCAGCAACACACTCGCCACAAGTCGATTGGATGGACGATTACTGACTGACACTAACACACACATCCACACAGAGAGAGATTCCCCTATTTAAATAGAGATTAAACATGAAAAAAATATAATAATAATAATAAACTGTAAAAGACACAGTAGATTTGTTTAGTTTAGTTTGTTTTATGAGATAGTCCTGACAGTGTAACTGCATCCCACACATACATACACAAAGACTCATCGTCGACATCAGCTCAGTAAATATTCATAGTTTTCCTCTCGAGCTCCAAACTGTAAGCCAAAGCCAAACTAACGCTGCCTCCATCTAAAGCCTCCCTGTTAATGGATGTTGTTCTCCACCACTGAGACAAGAGCCAATTACTATGATTCACACTGCAGTCCGATCCCTGCCCACAACTCTGGCAACCAGGCTTTAGCTTCTATTACTCTGTCAACAGCAGTGTACTTCATCTCAACAACACAAGGTCTTCATCTGCCTCTTGATATCCAGCAGGGCCTGATGATTTCACTTTTTAAAAGCAAATAATAATACACATTTGTAGGGCCACATTTTCACCTGAATCTTACACGTTGTGATACTTTGGTGTAATTATTATGTTCAAGAGCAGAGTTCCCTGGCACATATGTTAGACAAATCACATTGTAGAGGCCAATCTGCAATGTAGTGGTCTCACTGGTCAATGTCAATTATACCCCTTATCTCCCCTTTCAACGTGGTGATGACAGATTGAAGTTAACCTACTGCAGCTATCACATTTAATGATAAATCTTTAAAATAATAGTTTAACAGTTTGGGGAATTTTTGTCTGGAAGTTATGTATGAAGCTGGGACTAGCTAGCTTAGCATAGCATAAAGAGTGGAGGGAGGGGAAAACAGTCCAAAGTTTGAAAATCTGCCTACTAGCAGCTCTACAGCTCACTAGTTAGCCAACACATTCTCACTCCCAACTCGTCAAATATGGATGCTTGGTCAATAATAATAATAATAATCCTTATTTGTAGAGCACTTTTCAAAAACAAGTTACAAAGTGCTTTAACAAGTGTAAAGAATAATACAAAAAAAACAAGATAAGAGCATGAAAAATTTATATAAAATACAATAAAATAAAAGGGATAAAATAAAGTCAAATAAGATCGGG